CCAAACCCACATCCACCCACACACTCACAAACCAACGACAGCAACGGTAATGGCAACGGTAATGGCAGCGGCGGCGGAAGCGGTAACAGGACCAGTAACGGCACTCCGCAGCCCGCACTCCCGTCACGAGATGATGTCCTCGGGGCTGAGGGCCCAGAGGGGGAGGGGGGGAGGGACGGTGGGGAAGGGAAGGAGGAGGTGGAGGATGGGGAGGGGTGTGGGCAGATGCAAGGCCGCGGGGTGGGGGTAGGGTTGGGGTTGGGGTTGCTGTCGGATAAGGCCCGGCAGCGGGAGGAGCGGCGGAGGGCCGCCATGTTGCAGAGGGGCATTCAGCCGCCACCGCCCAGGGAGGGTGAGTTTATGCGCCTGTGTGTGTATGTGTGTGTATGTGTGTGTTAGGAGGGGGAGGAGGGGGAGGGAGCGCGGAGCGGGAGACGGCTTGAGGTCGATAAGGAAGTGGTTGGTTAGGGGCCCTGGGGCGCTGGGGAGTTGACCGGTTCAATAGGCCTGCGGGGGAAAGGGGCGGGGGAGGGGGAAACTGCCGACCTCCGCATCAAGCAATGCGGCCGAGGGCCCCTCCGAGGTGACGCACGAGCCGGAGCCTCATCCCGAGCAATGATTGATGTTGTACTGATTGATGTATTAGACTTCACTTTATTTGCGGAGAGAGGGGAGAAAGAGTGGGGCGGGTGACAAAAGAAAAGTGATGGGCCCTGAAGTGAGTCGGGGTTGTTGCGACCGAAGAGGGTCTGACCCCGAGATGCAGCAACCCCAACTTTTCGTGTGCCTCGAGATTTTTCCTGCCAACAGGACAATGTACGGCACGGTTTGACAAGCCACGTAGGCGGCCCCCTGCAGCCTGGTAGAACTGCCCCATACCGGCCTTACCGGCCTTACATAACATCCGCCGCCCCCAACCTCCTCTTCCCCCGCTTTCCCCTTTCCCCCCCCTCCGCCGCTCCCCCGTCCAGCCCCCCGTCCCGCCCCCTCCTTCCCGCCTGAATACTTCGACCACATCCTCCTGGATGCGCCCTGCTCCGCCCTGGGGCTGCGTCCCCGTCTGCAGCAGCAGTCCTCCGCCGCCTACCTGCGGCAGTGCGGGGCGGCTCAGAGGCGGCTGGGGGACGCGGCCGTGAGGCTGCTGAGGACGGGGGGCAGTCTGGTGTACTCCACATGCACCATAAACCCTGGTACTTGTGGGTTGGGGAGGGGGGAGGGGGGAGGGGGAGAGGGAAGGGGAATATGTGGGTGGGGATTGGGGGGGGGGCTGGCGGCGGCCTTGGACATGAGGCGTGTCAGGGCTGCAGTTTTATGGTTTCATCTTCCTTCCCATTCCCCTCTCCCGACTCCTCTCCCGAACCTGGTTAGAAGTCTAGAACTGCCACCACCACCACCACCACAACCACCACCATCACCACCACCACCACCACCACCACCACCACCACGGCGGAGCTGTTGGTGGCTTTCCAATGTTCTTGTTGCTGTTGTTGACGAGGAGGAGTTACACTGATGTGGGCGACTCGTCCTGAGAAAGGACGGCGAGCGCCGTCGGGGACCCATGCAGGACCATTATTGGTATTGTGTTTGTTGCCCTTCCTGCTGTCTGTATGAGTGTTGGCATGTCAATCTGCTGGCCAGCTCGTAGGTTATTTCCCATCGGCGGGTCATTGGCGGGTTATTTGCAGGTGAGAACGAGGCGGTTGTACGGTACCTGTTGGACAAGTACGGCAGCAGTATCCAGCTCGTCCCCGCGGGTCCGCCCTTCCTGGGGGGAAGAGGGCTTGTGGGTCGCCACCCCACCCTGGAGCAGGTGGGGCGACCGCACGGAGGGCCGGAGGAAGGGGACGCGGAGGCTCGCGTGCGCGGCTGCGGTGTTGGTAAAGCATCGAAATCAGCGGCGGCGGCGGCAGCGGAGTGCTCCGATGAGGCGGAAGGGGAGGAAGGGGACGCGGGGGGTGCTGAGGAGTGGCTGACGGAGGCGGAGGCGGCGCTGGTGCAGCGGTTCGACCCCTCGGATCCTGATCTGGATACCATCGGGTTCTTTGTTGCCAAATTCGTCAAGGTGGCGCCGGTGCTGTCGTAGAAACCCAGGAAAAGCCGCGTCCTCTCTCTCATGCTTAGCGAGGTGTGCGGGGGGGGGAGAGAAAAAAGGGTCTTCATTGGGCACATCCCTACAACCCATCAATGGCAAAAGAGATATGTAGGACGCAATCAGGCCGCAATCAGGCCTTTTTTTTCCCCGAGGTGATGTAAGGTGCGGTGATGAAACCTCAAAGGGTTACCGAAATTACTGAATAATAACGATACAGGGATAACTGAACTGGCATGTGGTAGCCAAGCGTTCATGGCGATGCTTTTTGATCCTTCGATGTCGATCTTCCCATGTCAGCACGGTCATCGTGTTCACCAAGCGTTGGGTTGTTCAGCCACCTCACTAATAGGGAACGTGAGCTAAATGGGTCTTGGCCGTCGTGAGAGTCGTTAGTTTTACCCTGCGACTGTTGGCCGGGCCGATTCCGCGTAATACGGCTCAGTACTCGAGGAACAGTGTAAATAACACTTAGATGAGAATGGTGTGAACGCGAAATTTGTATATATACATACAGATCCCTCCTCGAGCTCGATTCTCATTTTGTCGTATCTCCCTGAACCCTGCTAGGAGGGGCCCCTAGCACAGGAATCCTTCTTGACTTGGTCCGTGCCCATAGGAAGTTTGCAAGCCTTTATTCCATTACACACGATCACAAACAGTCCCGTTCGGACCGAATCACCATTTAGAGCTTTTGAGGACAAACCACTCCCGCGGGTGGGCGACCTAAGCGACCAACAACAACCCCTAAGTATCGAATGCACTGCGAAGCGTGCGAAACACACCCACACATGCGCACTCGCAGGTATGTGGCACGCACGCACGCACGCTCATGCACACCACACCACTCGAAAAGCAGTTCCATTCGAAGATGCGGATTGCCGCCACAGCAACATGTCAGTCACGCATGCGGCCAGGACCACTTATTTCGACCACCACCACCACCACAAGTGCAGGAGACATGCTGCGGGAGAGGGGATCAATTGAACACTCTGCCCCCTACCCCACCTCATTCCCCCATGATGCATCATTGCCGTCGCACCCACCCTCCTCCAGCTCCGCAATACAGATAATCGAGCCGTCCTACCATCGCAAAGAGTCACAGACCCACACAAACATCAACAACATCTGCGAAATGCCCATGGAAGCTCTTCCTCTAACCAGGAAGGAACGACCCAATAGATGCATGGCGTCCATTGCCAAGATAAGCCCTTAGGACAACATATAAGAGCGGGGGCTTATCGTGAACGCGAATCACAGCTGAATAGGGCCGACGATTAAGCGCGCGCACGCGCATGCAAATGCACCACATGCACGACCCCCGAGGTCACCTAGAGGGGACTTCAGAATTTGTAGGAGAGGGTAGCCACCATGTATGTATTAAGGCACAGTAAGCCACACGGTGTGTTCAATTGCTACTGCTCGGCCAGAGCCATTTCACACCACCAGTGCCAAACGGCGCTTACAGTTTTTGTGCTAATAAATGCTAATAACCCGCCGGCGGACCGCTCCGTTCCAAGTGACGTAACTCCGGAACTTCCCACCCAGCCTCTTCATGTCGGCGTCCAGTGGCCCCTAGACACGGGGCCGCCGCGTGGGAGAGCCGGCCACAACCCCACCACCAGCACCGTCGCCGCACAATCAGTTGGCCTTCATATCTACACCCTCACCCGCTCAACTGTGCAAAGGCAAACGTCCCCGTCCCCAATAATAATGAGGCGCGCTGGGACGAGAAGCCGCGCAAGGTAATCGGCACCACATGTGTGCTACGCGAAGCGAATGAGAAGCGCACCGTACAAGACATAAGCGCCGTGTCACATGTAGACACTCCGAAACCCCGAGAAGCATACATAAACAACAACAAACAACAACGAGCTGCTGGTTTTCAACCGCATTCTTAGCCCGCCGCCGCCGCCGCCGCCGCCTCGGTCTTGATGCCAACACCGGTCGCACGAAGAACTGCATACGTTCCATATTTTGAAAGTACACGACAGGGCACCACTTGCCCATCCAGCTCTTGACGAATCAATCCCAGGCAATCGTCGCCATCATCTCCACCATCTCCCCAGTCCTTTCAAATCGACAAATGGGCTATCGTGGGCGAGCAGGGGGGGGGGGCGCCGCCCGAGGGGTGCATATCCTGCCAGTCAGCTGTACTAACCCCCAACCAACAACGATCAGCCTCCATCATCATCATCAATATCGACTCATTGGCATCATATTGGGATCGTTAGCGCCGCCAGCAGTTTGCAGCGCAGGCGCCCGCCCGCCAACGAACCCCAGAGCCTACCTACCAATACGCCGCTGCTGCAGCAGCACTTGGCCCGGCGACCCCTTCCTCCCATCAGCCACAAGGTGCAGCCCCTGGCCTGTCAGTCGGCCAGACATAGCCAATCCGGCTCCATATCAAATCTTACCGTGCCTGGATTTTATGTACGGCACCGGAGGCGTGCCGGCATGACGCCGCACGCTATACTCCACCGACATCCTCCCACCCACCCACCTTCATCTTGTATAAGAAATGAAAAGCATTTCACTGCATGTGGTCGCTGTTTGTGTCGGTGTTCCTGTTGGTGCACAGTGAGAAGACCCGTTGCAAACGGCTGTGAGCCGCCGGACCAATCCAACCATTCATCCACAAGCCTGGAATATCGTACATGCGCAAGCACCGAGAGCATTTTCAAATACTTCCGTTCCAGACACTGCTTAACATTACTTTAAAAGGCGCTCGGGAATTTTCGCACGCAAAGAAATTCCACATACCCCAGACGCGCCTTGCACCACCACAAAGCACGACCCCCCCCCCACCTTCCCACATTCTCACCGCCATGATGGCAGTACCAGCCTGGTCTCGTAACCCCGTGTCCTTCCTTAGCTTCTTCCCGCCCGCCCCATCTCGCCTCTCGTGCCGTCTTAAGGTTGTAGAAAAACACATCGGAGCATCAGCATCACCACCTTGGCGAACCCCAGGGTGCACTAAAGCCCTCAACCCCGCCCCCCTCCGGCCACCTCACGTGCGCCCTCACCACCCTCACTCCCGGCACAGCAAACGCAACCGGGCGACACGTCTAGCCACACTTCCGGCCCTTTTCTAAGACATCTCCAAGTTAAACCAAAACCATTCCTCCCTTCCATCGCCTCCAAGAATTCAATCAACAAACTTCTGTCTTCTGCTTTGTGGCGCCCGCCCTGATGAGCTCTGTAGCGCCCCTCCCTTCCTTCCGTAGCCTGCGAGGCTTGATAGGAGCAATAATAAAAACGCTATTGCAGAGTACTGCGGAGGTGACGGGAGGCGGGGGTGTGCGCCCGGACCGGAGCACTCCGCGCAGGGCTCCGGTCCGGGCGACCGGCGGGCAACTGCTTTGAGTGGGAGCGCCGTCACCAGCCGGGACGGAGACGACCCAGGTCCTGACACCCCTCCTACATCAAACGCACCACATGTAACCCCCGAGCCCCAAAGGTGCCATCTCGTTGTCGACAAATACGTGCACATACGCTCTGCTTAGGCTTCATGATTGTTAAATTAGGCAGGCAGGGATATGCACGTTGCATCCCTGTATATGTATAATTCAATAATTTTTTAGCGCTATGTAGATTTAGAGAGTATGTCGCTGGGCCGCAGGAGACATATCCCAAACTGTGCCAAAGCGGCCAAGTCAGGTCAGGCCGGAACGGGCAGCAGCAGCACCAGCAGCAGCTGCAGCAGCTACAAGCCCGAAACAGAGGACCAACTTTCCGGTTGTCTCTGTCTGCGGAAGCTCTTCCGCCGGCGCCGCCAGGTCGCCCCCTCGGCTGCCGGCCTCCTGGCCCTCTCTTCTGCCCTCCTCCTCCTCCTCCGCTTCCCCCTTCTTCCCACTCCTCTTCCTTCACAACCCTAAAAACCCTAGCGGCTCTGCCCGCTGTTGCTGCTCATCAAAGCGGCCTCGGAAGCAGCCGCCACCTGCTCACTCCCCGACCCTCTGACTGCACCCGCACCCGCACCTGCCGCGGCAGCCACCGCCGCACTCCCGCCCTGCTCCTTCACCTCACCACTGCTACCGCCAACCCTCTCCTTGCCCCGAGATGCCCCCTGACAGGAGCCAGGATCATCCTGGCCCAACGAAAGCTGCGAGGTGCTGTCCGTGGGAACCACCACCCGCCCCGCCCCGTCGCTGGCGGCGCTCCCCGAAGGAGCCCCCGACGCTCCCCTCCCCAACTTATCGCTGCCGGGGTAACCGTACCCTGCCTTGGCGCTGCTAGAGCCCCCAGCCCCTCCCGACCCTGCGGCGGCGCCCGGGGCCCCTCCGGCTGCGGCTGCTGCTACCATGGGGCGATGTCGGTCATTAATGCTGCTGCCCGCTGACCCGGCCCCTGCAGAGTGCGGTAGTCGGGAGTTCTCTGCGCCGACACTGATGTTGGCGTTTGAGCGCTGAGAGCAGTTGCTGGAGGGCGCCTCGCATTCGCCTTGGACGAGCTGCGGAAGGACGAAGGGATGAGGATGGGGGTGGCCGGTTTGGAGGGGACTATCGAGGTATGTGTGCGTGTATGTGGGAGGGCGGAGGGGACCCGGGATGCGGGACTCAAGTCCATCACCTCACTTTCCCCCTTCCTTGGGAGGGAGCTGTGAATGTCCCGGAAGGCAAGGGGGCACATTGCGGGGCGCGGGGGGGAGGTGGGGGGGGGCCTTGTTGGGGGAGAGCTGGGGGAGGAGACAACACCCCGGGGTGTGTGTGGATCGCACGTAAGGTGCAAAACAAGCTACAACTCACACCCTCCCTTCCCATTCCGCCCCCTGCCCGCCTCACCTGCAGCACCAGGGTGAGCTGCTTCGCCAGCTCTGCCGCTGCTGGGCGCCGCTGCGGATCGGGGTCCCAACACTGGAACACGGAGGGACAGACGGACAGACAAACCAAGAGTACGATTGAGGCGATATGTGCGGGAGGAATGGCAGCCTGATGGGCCGCGCAAAGATGCATGTGTGTGCGTGTGTGTGTGGGGGGGTGGGAGGGCCAATTAGGGGCCTCGTCACCCAGAAAGCCGTAGTAGTAACGCACTCCTTATCCCACGCCGCCCAGGAAGGGAAAGCTCCCGCCGCCCGGTGTGGGTGGAACACATGGACCGTCGCTTGTGGGCGACATGACCGACAACACATACACACACACGCCTGTGTTACACAACGCAACGCAACGCAGCGCTGCTTTGCCTCCCTACGTACTACTGCCCCTCGCCATTCCCCCCTCCTCCCCTCCCCTTCCCTTCTCTCCTCAGGTTGCTTCCCCCCCGCCCTCGCCCCAGTCCACCCCACCTGGTGGATCAGCTTCCTCAGTTTGGGCGGGCACCGGGCTGCATCCAGCTTGCTCAGCGGCAGGCGGTGGTGGCGCACCGTGATGGAGTAGGCAATGGCCACCATGCTGCAACCCTCCCAAGGGACACTGCCGGTGAGCATCTCCCAAAGAATGACACCTAGGGGGCCGGGCGGGCAGGAAGGGGGCAGGGGATGGGGGGGGGCGGGGGAGTGGAGAGAGAGAGAGAGAGAGAGCAATACGGATGCGGAGTAAGGGACCCAGTGGTTGCGGACAATGTGTGCGGAGTGTCGTCGGAGCCAAAGCGGAAGGGGAAGGGATGCTGTTAACGAGAAAAGGGGGTGTGACAGGCCGGCCGTTAGGAAATGTGGCACACTTTCTATGCCAGGCTTGGTGCTGCCCACTCATCCCCTTGTCACACAGAGCCCATGTCCCATCGCCCTCTCGACGCAGCCGCCCCCAACGCTACTCACCCAACGCGTAGATATCCGCCTTGTGCGTGATTACGTAGTTGCTGGCGTCAAATGCCTCTGCGGAGTGAAGAGAGGAGGGGGAAAGACGAACCACGTGAACGAGTGAAGCTGCTGCCAAGACAAGAAAAGAGTGTACAAGCAGGAAGCAGAACTGAGGGGGAAGGAAAGAGGGACCATGAGGCCATTCTCCTTTCCCTCCTCCAGCTATAACTCTTACACCACCACCACCGTCGTTTTCATTACCACCATCGCCACGGCCATCACCGTCACCACCACCACGACCATACCCCGGCGGAGGAGTAGTGAAAGGGCTGCTTGACCGGACCCAACTCGTTACTAAGATGCACCCATCACTGTCTGATTGGTTGCGCATCGTAACACACATATATACACGCACACGCGCACACACACACACACACACACACAGGCTCACACCAACTCCTTGCCTACATGTGCTGCCACGTCCGGCGCTCACATCTGGGCTCCCTCCCCTCCCCGCCCCTCCCCGTTCCCAGCCCTCGTTTCCCGTGCATATATTCCCCCCCCATACACACACACACCACATACACCCTTCCCCACACGCACCAGGTGCCATGTAAGCGGGCTATCCGGAGAAGTGGGGGCCGGAGACAGCGGCGCGGGTTTCAAGAAGCAGAAGCACCGCCCAGACCATGAGGGGAAAGGTGATACAGTACGGCAGGGAGGGAGAGTGAGGCACAGTGAGGGAGATGAGGGCATTGGAGGGAATCACACGCAAAGGAACAGCCGGAATCAGCTGCCACGGCGTCCAAAAGGTCCGAAGCTGGCCCCAGTGAGTCCTAAGTGGTGATGAAGTCATCGACTCCTGGTTCCGGAAATAAAGCCCCATTATTACGTTACCGACATTTTTGCAGTATAGTCGTCGTCAAGGGTGGGGTTGACGAGGGTGGGGTTGAATAGCAAAAAGTCCCGCCCCACCAGCCCCTTCCCTTCCCCCTGAGCCCCCTTGGGCCTCGTGAGCTCTCTCCCCCCCTCCCCCCCTCCCCCTCCCGCCCGTAACCCTCCCGGGCCTCTCACCGTGCCCGCCTCGGGGTGCCGGGTGACCAGCACGGTGCTGCGCAGCCGGGACAGACCAAAGTCCTGAGGGAAGGGGGGGAGGAGGAGGGTGTCCAGGGAAACAGGAAGAGGGAGGTAGGCAACTTGGGAGAAAAGAAGGGAATGCGCACAAGTAGAACACAGCTAGCTAGCTGGCCAGTAGAACATGTACTTGCCAATGCAGTACACGATGACGGAGGAGAGTCCTATGATGCAACTCATGTACAACTCAGCTGCTGACGTCCGGGGTGGGGGAGAGGGGGAGAAATGAACTGCCCAAGTCCGGGGTGGGTGGGTAGTGGGTGGGTCGCGGGTGGGTGGAAAAGCAGAGCGACAAGACCCAAACAGAACGACGGGACGCGTGCTGCTGCTGGCCTCTTCAAATGTCCGAGTCAGCGACTCTCTTCCGTTCTTTCCTCCTATTCCACCTTTAGATACCCCTCCGCCCTCCCCTACCCTCCGCCCTCCGCTCTCTCACCGTCAATTTCGCAATGGGCCTGGGTGAATCCGTGTTGGACAGCAGCACATTGCCCGGCTTCAGGTCACGGTGCACAATGGTGGGGTGCAGGTACGCCAGTCCGCGCGCAATGTCGGCGGCTATGTGCAACACCGTGGGCAGTGGCATCAGGTCCCCCGACTTGGCATGCACCATCCGCTCCAGGGAGGTGTCCATCAGCTCCATCACCAGACACAGCCGCGGGGGTTTCAGACACGCCGCCAGCAGCCGCACCACATTGGGGTGCTGGCAGCGACCCAGCACCTAAAGATGCGGCGGGGGAGGCCGGGAGAGAAAGAGAGAGAGCGCGAGCGGTCAGGGCGCGTGCAGGATAGGGCGGTGCACCCTAAATCAGCCACCTCAGAGGCAGCAGCTGCCTACTTAATAACGTCCAGAGTAGTCAAACAAAGAGAGGGAGGCGGGGAAGAGCCAGGAACAGGGAGAAAAAAAGAAGCAGAGTCAGCGGAGCAGCAGCAGCAGCGGTTTCCTAACTGTTAAACCCTCCCTCTCCACCCTCTCCTCTTGTCTCCTCCCTCTCCCCACCGCCGCCGACCTTTCCCCCTTCATCTCCGCCAAGCCACCCCTCACACACACATGCACAAACCAACTGCAACCCCAAGCACCGCGCCTTACCTCCACCTCCTGCGCAAAACTGTTCACTAGCGAGTCCGAGGGCCCGCTCCACTCGTCCACATCCACCACCAGCTTCACCGCCACGCGCTGCCCGCCGTACAACCCCTCCACGACACGGCCGTAGGAGCCCTTGCCGCGGATGATGGGCAGCAGCTTGACCTCCGTGTCGCACTGCACATCCAGCTTCAGGTCGGAGCGGTGCGGAGTGAAGGGGGTCACAATCACCAGCGGACTGCTCGAGTCCAAATCTGTGGAAGGGAGGGGAGGGGAAGGGGGGAAAAGACGAACCACGAACGAATGAGGCTGCTGCCAAACAGGAGGAGGGGTGGGGGAAAGCGAGGAGGAGGAGGAGGAGGAGGAGGGGGGTGAGGAAACACATGCAAGGAAACAAGGAGTTAACAGCCGCCGCCGTCATTTGAAGTCATAAGGAACTGCAGGGTAGTCCGACGTGAGGGGGAGGGGGAGGCGAGGAGGGGGAGGGGGGCCTGCCACAAGAGGGGCCGGGGCGCCGTGGCCCGAAAATGATGGCCCGTACTTCCTGGAAGGAGGAAAATGGAGGAGTTGCTGCACTGCTGTTAGTGTGACAGCACTCCAGGGGGGTTGGAGGGCTCACACCCGTTCTCCGTCCGCTCTTGCTTCCCCTCGAGGCTGCACAAGGATGGATGGATGGATGGACGCCACAGCAACGCCTCATTCCCCGTACGTATGTACGTATGTATATGTATGTATGCCACCCCGGGGAAACGTGCTGTGTGTACGTGTGTATACCCTCTTACCTGTGCTGCTCAGCACGCACGTGCCGACCCCACTGGGCAGGATGATGTTACGGCCGGTGCTGGGCTGCTGCTGCACGGAGCTGGTCGCCCCAGTGCTGGGCGGCAGCTTGTTGGCCAACGCCGTGGAGGTGGACGCCGGGCTGCACACGCTGGTGCTGGCGCGCGAGGTGCCAGTGTTGGCTTGGCCTGGAGGCAGCTGCTTGCAGACCGTGGTGGACTTGCCGTCGCCCTTATCATCACCGTCGCCAGTGGCATCGCCGCCGTTACCCTCAGGAGCGCTTGCGGCCGCCCTGTAATGGTTTTTGGTGTTGTGTGTGTATGTGTGTTGGGGGAGTTAGGAGTTAGGGGGCCCGTATGTGGGGTGGTAGGGGGGAGATCATATGATGCAAAGAGCACTGAGAGCCACTTCGTGTCGGTGGTTCGACGACCGAAATTTAAAGGTCTCCAAAGTAATACGGACCTCGTAGGAGATCAAAGTTTTTTTTGTGTGTGTATGTGTGTGTTGGGGGAGGTAGGGGCCTCGGGGGGAAAGGGTAATATATACGGAAGGGGAAATACGCAATGGGGTCAATAGGGAAAAGTGCCACCCCCAAAACCCCCAAAGGCATTGCTCCACGGGTTACTACAGTCGATACAACACACACACACACCACTTCCTCCTCCAGCCACACGGTCCAACCCCCTCGGGGCCCCCATACACACACGCACACGAGTGCGCCACCGGGCCCCGAGTGTGCTGGCACCCGTGCAGATTGTGCATGTGTATGCCTGCCTGCCTGCCTGCCCGTCTAGTGGCCTTCCTGCCTACCTGCCACCACCCAGGGGAACCCTCCGACCCACCCACCCACTACCCATCTACTTGCCTACTACTTACCTAACAGCGTACATGCACATCTTACAGGCCAGCTCACTCAGCTGCATGTGCAGGGCCCAAGTACCGCTCCTGCTCTCTCCCCCCCACACACAACATGACTGGACGCCGGCAATTGCCTTCCCTTCCTTTCCTTGAGTTTGATTAGTTCTTCTTTCCCCGCCTACCTCGCTACCCCAGGTCTGTTCCCCGCATACACAGTGGCCCCCGGTAGCCCCTCCTACGGAACCACAACGACCGACCCGTCCATCGCGCCTCCCCTCCCCTCCCCTCCCCTCCCCTTCCCTTCCCTTCCCTTCTACGACGTTTTCAAATAATTGAAATTTCCAAACAACATCCAAGAACCCAGCCACCCTCTCCTCTCCAAAACCCCACACGCAACCCCCGGTAACATGAAGCTCGCGCTCGCGGCATTCATTCCGAACTGAGATGCGGTCACATGGCCACACACGGAGACACTCAAGTACGCCCCAAAGCCACAAACCGCCCAAAGACGCCTCAAGCCCCCTCCGGGCCGTCGGTCTGACAAAGGCGGACAGGGAAAGGGGTGATTGCTGCCGAGGTGAAGCGCGCTGCCCTACCTCTTGCTTTCCTCGTATGCCGCTTTCCGCTGCTCCGCTGCGCGGCGACGGCGAAACCGCACTACCAACAGCATCGCCAGCGTTATAACGCCCAATACCACCACACCTTCGGGGAGGGGGTTAAAGCAGCCGACAGTTAGCAGATTGCCTAATTATGATTAAAAGAGGAGGTACAAAGGAGGGAAGGAGACGAACCACACACACACACACAAGTGGGAAGCTGATACCCTAGGGATAGAAGGATACTACATGCATGGATATCTTCGGGGGTAGGGTGGGGAAAAGAGGATTATGTGACGTTTCAAAGCCAAGGTTAAAGTTGCTAAGAGCGTTGATGTCCTGCGTTGTATCAAAGGGTGTTGCTGCTGAAGACGTGTTGTTTACTGGTAGAAGTCAACCAATGAGAAAACCATGTAAAACGATCGCCTCGGACTGAAACTGTCCACCGCTACTACCACCACACGTGAGTGCAAACCCATCCAACCCCCATCCCCTCTGCCCTCCGCCCAGATTGTGGACCAGCTCGTTACCTGCGACTACTCCGGCCACTACACCCGTCAGCGTTCCGGGGCTCTTCTTCTCCACTTTCACCACGGGGGGCCCGAAAAACGGTGAGGGCGAGGTGCCCGGCGTGCCCGACGTGGCCGACGTGGGGGTGCGCGGAAACCTGCTCATGCGGGTAAGGGGGCCGGATGTGCGGTAATGGTCAGCAACCACCATCACGACCATGCACCTCATCATCCCGGCCGCCGTCGCCATCACTTCACGAGACTTAAGACGTGCCGTGACCCTCACTTCAGTCGTAAGTCTTAAGTCACGTGTGTGTGGAGGGTCCTTCACGTCACGAGGAAGGTGGCACGACCACGACATGGTGGTGCCGCACGTGGAGCCGCATAGAGAACGACGCCATCATCACAAACGTTTTTTGACACACTTGTGATGATGTGAGGTGGTGGTGGCCCTCACACTCGCCCTCGCAGGCACGGGTGAGGGTGAGGGTCTCGCACGGCTCGTCACCGGCCCAGAATGCAGACACGCCGCCCCCACCTCCTCCACACACCAAAAGAGTCATCACTTGTTGCGCCCGCCCTTCCCGGCACAGGTGCAGCAGTATCGGGAGCCCCCGACGGCCCCCGAATGAGAGAGATCCGCAAAGCGAGGGGTGTGCGGACCGCCGTCCGAACCCCTCCCCCCTCCCCCCACATACATCACATACCCACTCCCAAAGAGACACATATCCCGCGAGCGACTTGCATAACAGTTCGAGGTGTCTCCTTTCCTCTTCCCCCCCAGCTTTCGCGTTCGCCGGTACAAGTAACAACCCCCACCCGCCCCCTGTTGCACCCCCAACCCCCACCCCACCCGCCCTCTTCACCAAATCCAAAACCCACAAGGACAGGTAGCAGCCCAGCGGGCCCAGCTGGGTGACGCATTCATCGGTCATCTGCCGCTCGCAGAGGTACGGCACACGCAGCATGTACAGCGAGTACCGCGTCGTCGTGGCTCGTCCAAATGCATCAATGTCAAAGCCCCCCACCGCCACGTCCGCATACATGCCCACGTCGGGCCAGCAGCGGGAAATGGGCGGCACGGTGCTGCTGTTGGAGTTGATACAGCCGACCTGCGTGGTATTGTAGGCAAGTTGCTTCCCTGGCAGGTTGCTCGGCCGGACGATTGACGACATGATTTCGGCCTGCATGTTCTTGGGGACACAGATGCCTGCGAGAGGGCGCGCCAGGAGCGGAGTGGAGGGCAGGGGAGGGGTGAGGGAAGGGGTGAGGGCAGGGAGAACACGCACAACAGGGAGACAGAGACGAGGCGGAGGGGGAATGGGGAAGAAGGGGGGAGGGAGAGAGATCATACGTATATGTTGGCCACTGCCCCCTCAAAAGTACGTCAATGTAAATGGCGGGCCTAGTCCATTGAAACCCTAAGCCCATTCAAACCGCTCCAAGCGGTAGGGCCGGTGCAAAACTTGTCAAGCTGCGCCTGCCAGCCTTTCAAACCCTGGAGGTGCTTCCGAAAGCCCACGCAAACTTACGCAGCATGAGGATCGCATCCTGCATAATGACGAGCGCCCCTGCCTCGCTCGTGGAGGTTGCCACAATGTCGAAGCCGGGCGACTGTCCCAGAGGTGTCTGCCGGAAGTCGTGAACCACGACATACTGAAAGATCAGAGCTGTGTTGTTTTCCAACCGGATCTGCAGGAAGTGGGCGCCGGGAAGGCAGGAAAGCCGCGTGTAAGGAGGGGGCCCCGGCAGTGCGGGCTCAGGACAGTGGGTGGACACGATGGTTACCTGCTGGCTGCTTTCCCAGCTTTGGGTGTCGCTTTGATGGCTAAAGTCGCTAACGCCACGAAAGACCGTGTCAATCCCATAACTTCCAGGCGGTAGTATGCACAATCAAAGCCTTCTTTCGCAACAGAGCTTCCTGACATCCCGAAAACTTCTGGAGAACAACTGTCCAACATTAGGAAAACTGCCCTTTTAGTTCAAAACCAAAAAATGAACACGGTCAGAGTCATCTGCGCTATGTAACCGGCCTTATGCCCAAAAACCGAGTCGCCGTTCTTCAAACTAATGCTCTACAGAAAGCCCATGCGCAATCCCACATGTAACCCGTTTCCCCAGCAGGCGCCCCACCTTGCCCTTAACAAAGTTGAGTTCCAGAAGTGGCCAGGATGTTTGCGGTCCAGGAGTTCCACTTATCGTAAGGTTCGTAGACCTTGCTATGACTGTCGACGGAAAGTCTGATTCGTTCACTTCAACCTTGGACACAAGCCAGGCGAAGGTCTTCAAAGGATTTGCTAATGCGTCTGCCAGCTCCTGACCAGTCGTGACGACTACAACGTTCGGGTCAGTTAAGCTGGGCATCGGCATTGGTGGAGCCGGTGGTGGAGGCTGCGCAACACCGAGCATGGGTACCGCTGTCATCAGCAGCAACGCAAGCCAGGCCCTTGCCATTGAAGCGACTGTTGTTGATTTCATTATAGGGGCATACGCAGCTTGCGGCTGCACGCCCGGACCGTCCTCAAGTGCCCATACGGGTGGGCAGGCTGTGACCCCTAGGAGAATTGAAGGCCTAATGTGGTTTTCATGACTCCTATGGTCAGATATTTATTGGAATACGTAAGCCAGGAACATGGTCTGGGAAACGATATCTGACCATGACCTGGCTGAAGTTCACGACAATTCCACTCATACGATGTAGTTCGCAAAATATTCCAGGACCGACACCCTATGAGCAAGGCGCTGACACTATGTCCAAGCTACATACATGAGATTCACTCCATGCTCTCAGACATTTTTGAAGCCCTGCGGTGCATCAGCCGGGACCAAAATGCTCTACGTGAAAGCGAAATAGCTTGATGGAATGCGCATGACTTGATCTACTTTATTCTACAAACCTAAGCAATGACACATTGTCAGGACTTCCGCGTCAAAATACAAGACCCTCAGCTGTAGTGCTGCTGTCCTCATGGTTGCTAGCTTTTGGTGACTCCGTGAATCTGTTTCTGTGCTGCCTTCGCTAATCCGGCAAGGGTGCGGCTTGCAGGTGCCACCCGACGCTGCACGCTCCCCATGCCGCTGGCGGAGTGTTGCCGGAACCTTTTACCCAGGCATGCCAAAACCTGATCTCGCTCGTGATTCACCCAGGTAGAGTTCAAGGCCCACTCCCACACCTTTTGTGTACAAGCCATTTGGAAAACTCAGCCACTGGTAACTTATTTTTGGTTTGGGGAATTATGCGTTGCTCCACACCTGTGCAGTGTGAGGGGGATATTCTGCCTTGCTCCACGTGCAGCATAAGGAGATGGTGGTCGGACGCCTCAGTGCTTTACAGTGCAAACTATGTCCTTGGGGTCGTACCCAGGGTTGGCAGATCCAGTGATTCAATGCGCAGAGGGTTGCAAAAGGGGTCTAATGCCCCAATCCTGGGGTTGGGTAGTGGTCAGCCATCCTCCCATCCTGGCAGGGGTGACCGACTCCCATCCCCCATCTAAAGGCCCGGTGCTAATCCCATCCCTCAAGACAGGTTTCCCATCCTGCCAGCCAGGGTCCCATCCCCAATCTCTTCGGCCAGGGTTTCCAATCCCATCCTGCAGCTGTGTTGATAATCGAAAGCTGTCAGCCAGGGTTCCATCCCCATCCCTTGAGCTGGTGTCACAACCTTCATCCTGGTCTGGTCTGGGTTGACACTACTGCGATTCGCGGTTTAAGGTCCTGGGTTCGATTCCTGGGGAGACCCCCGAATTAGTCGGGAGCGCGAGATTATGGCTAGCTGCTGAGATGTGGAGTTGAGGTCGCAGTTGATGGACCAGATTCGCACGCTGGATTGGTGGCGATTGCCGAACCCTCCGTCTCTTCGGTTGTTCGGGTGAATGGATGAGGAGGGGTCCTAGACGGCTGGACCCGCCGCCTTGGACTTACAGTTCGTATGGCGAAGTATAGTGTGGTAGTGGTGGATGGTGCTATAAGATGATAAATCGTAGAACTGACAATGTGATAAAAGCGGCCCAGAAGCCTCCTACTCTGTAACATAACACAACCTTCATCCAGCTACAAACCTACTCCTTACGTTTACACAGGTGCTGTAATATCGGGCTTTCTCTTTAGGGGAATGACCAGGGTTATTTTCTATTTCCCCGAGATATTTTTCTCTTGCTCTATGGCTTACTTCCTCTAGCGTCAAGCAGACTGAAGCGACAAACGCTCTTTGAAGCGGATCTCGGCCGAGGGAGAACTTGCAGCGCAGAGGTCTATGTATCTGTTTGCACACTGGTTGTTAATGCACATAGCGCGTCGTCCTAACGGAGGAAGGAGAGTTATGTTCAATGGATGGCCACAACAACAAATAATTACGCTGTGGTTAGTATGGCAGAACAAACACGGGTGTTCTGTCAAAATGTCCATGGTTTGGAACGCGGGATGATGAAGAAGGACCGGTTGCACCAATGGTTCACCCCCAGTACAGGTGGTCAGCTGCACAGTCGGGCACCGATGTTTCACGTTGGATACGCCAAAGCGCAATGGAAAACAACCTGATAAGGTTATGATAAGTCAGGCATTCCGATTGGAATGCTTTTGAGTCGACTTGAACAACTGCGCAAGTTTGCTCCTATCCACTACGACATTTTGTCCCATGCACAGAGTTGCGTGGAGTTGCGCCACAACGAAACAATGAAGTTTGAAAATTTCCCTGGATTGTGCATACTGGCTTCGGGATGCGGTACGGCATGATGTGGCCAGCTGTACGGCCAGCATGTGAATACACCGCCAGTAGGGACCGCAGAATACACACAAACGTTCTGGTCTTTTTCACAGTGTCCCAAACTCTGCCTTGGAAAACGAACACTTTGTTTAGCGCAAACTACAAAGGACTGTTCACACATGACTGGCCCTATTTAACTTTTGCTAGCAGGAGGCGATTTGCTTGTTGATGAAGTATTTTTGAAATCTGTTAACATGGTTTTGTAGGCAAGTAGGGCTGGTCATCCGTGAAAAGCTGTCTGTCAAACAGCTCGACGATCTTTCAATATCTCCTCTGTTAAGGCATATGTTGGCACATACGTTGGTGCCGTGGATGTGCGTGGGCCGGACAAGGTAAGAATGTTGTTCTGACTGCGGAACTGGCGGAGCGCACCATAGGTTCATGTCTCTCCTCATTTACACCAAGTCGCTTTCCATGCCTGTCTCATGCCCATGTAATTATAATAGGATATCCTGCAATGGTTGACGAGTCGAAATGCACGGGCCGGGTGAAGTCCAAGACCCACGTCGAGAGCATGCCTTGGCTGCACCTATTGCACTGCCGCTGCAATGTGGCGGCCTGCGTCTGTTCATGCAAAGCAATACATGGGAATGGTACACGCCACATTTCATCTTGGACCTGGTGCACGAGCTTGTTGCACCAGGCTGCTCGACCTGGATCCGTGTTCTTGTGCCGCTGCAAACATGCGGGTCCAGGCCACTTCCTTTTACGATGAGGAGACGGATGGACTGGCAGAGGGCAATGCATGGCGATGAAATGTGATTCTCAACCTGCTTTTGTTGTACGGAAAGGACAGAGCCTCCAAGGGCTATTTTTTTGCGAGATGTGTGCGGGAGTATCAGGCGGGGAATGTGAGGCAGGCCGTGGTGCTATTGAAGGCAGGTATAGGCTACATCTGGTTCAATGATGTGCTGAACTGGCCAGTGTTCTTTCTCCGGGAGCGCCTTTCGTTTGTCCGATGAGCTTCAATGGGGATCCTGTGCGCAGAATCCACACGGCAGTGTCATTGCCTATATGGACCCTGCCGTTCGTCACCTTGTTTAGTCGCATTGGGAGCGTGCCAGGCATGAACTCGTGGGCACATGTCAGGCCTGTACCCCCCGCGGTAGGGGTTGAGGAGGGCAGTAACACTGCATGAATTGAATAAGTCAAGCCCTGGTTTGTTGTGTTGTTTGCAATGAGTGCCCGCCATTTGGTGTGAAGCTAAAATGCATGGACGAGTCTGATGTTAGACTCCCTAGCCTAGATTCGATGCTGCCAACTCATAGAATTTCCTTGTGTTTGTGTTTGGTTTGTTATGTACCGCGACTTATAAGCAGAGGTCTAACATTTATATGCATGACGGCCTGGTGAGGTGGCTGATGTTGGTGCATGCACCGATGATGGCCAGGCTATTGGCAGACAGCAGTGGTGCAGCCTGCAGGGGCCGCTTTTGGTGAGATGTGCTCATGTGTGTCAAGTGGGTAATGGGAGGCCCGATGTGGTGCTGGTGAACATGGGCATGGGCTAGACCTGGACATCTGATTATGGTGCTGTTGGGCAGGGGTGCCTTGCTTTGTGAAGACATCTCTCGGTGTTTGGTTTACCGTGTATTGCTGACCCATGAGTTGAAGTGTGTGAGCTAAATTGGCCATGACAACGTGCATGTTTGGTACTGGCTTTTGCCACCATTTAAACACTTTTGCCAGACGCTGTGAGATGCACCATAAGTAACACCACACTAAGTAAGCAACTATGGACAACTAACCATCCCTCCTTGGTCTGTTGCAGTCCTGTCAGTATTCCCCATTCTGCACCTGCAGCCTCATCTTACAGCAGAACCAAACATCCTAACCCTCCAGCTGTGTCCCCAATCCTCACCCTATGGCAGCAAGCCCATTCTAAACCTGCGACAGCCTGCAATCCCCATCCTGTCAGCCAGGGTCCCATCCCCATCCTTGGTCAAGGTTTCAATCCCCATCCCGCTGACAGGGTTCCCATCTCCATCCTCACCCCGACAGCAATCCCCATCCTAAAAGTAGTGTAGCACGCCTAATCCCTAATCCTTGCGTTGGGCCCCACATCCCCCCCTGACGTCGTCACCCTATTCCCCATCCCAACTGACCAGTACCTGCCCCCAATCCCCAATCTTTGCAACCCTCTGCATTGAGGATGTGACATCCCCTAGGAGTCCCATTGAATGGTTCGGGTGAATGGTCTGGCCCAATTCTTGATATTGGGTTCCACAATTCCTGACAAGTTGGTAGAAGCGGTCTCATTTTGGTTGTGCTGCTGTACCCTCCCCCATTCCCCCGGAATGGGCAAAGGGCTTAGGTGAGGTTTCAGGGGACGGGTATGGGGTGGAGACCCCCAGCAGATCTTTGGCTTCAGGAGCACAGGAAGGCCCAGTCTCAAATGAATCAGAGGACGATGTGGGGGATGAAGTTCCTCACCACTTGCTGTAAAAGCAAGGGTTGCTGGCATGGAGGGCTGGTTCCAGCTGCATTCAGATCCGATGTGGGGTTGAAAAGTACCCATCGGCGGATGCAGATCCCGTGATAACCCCAGGATACTGCATTCAGGCAGGTCACTAGTGCAGAGATTGTCTAATGTGTCTAAATGCAAATGTTGTATATAATGCCTGATCTTACCATGCGGCCCCCTCCCCCAAGCGACCCCAGACCTCACGGCAAAAGAGTGCAGGACGGTGGAAAAGCAGCATATGTAGTGCATACTGTCGGGCACAACATGTAGGCAACTCTGCAACCATCGCAACTACTTTGTCAAGCTCCTCTCAGAGCCATGTTATAGTTTGTGACGCATAGGAAAGGCAATTCATTGTCGTACTGTAGCATCGGAGTCACACACCACCACCACCTGATCCCAAGAGGTGCAAGTTCTCAGCAGCAACATCAGCAACAAAATGCACCAGCCGGCAATCCTCAGCGTGAGAAGACGTAATACAATGACGACACTAAGGGCTGCAGGTCAACCAGCTGCAGTACTGGCACAGCCGCTGCCAAGAGATGATAATTCGGACAGTTAAGGATACCTCTCACATCTCACACACTTAAACCTTACATTACACATATACAGACTACAACGTACCTGAAAACCCCTCAATACACAGTCCTGCAAGTCACAGACGCACACAGAAGTGCCCCGACCTCCCAAACCCCACAAACACTCCCAACAGTCCCCAAGGACCCACTTCTCCAGTGCTCAACAGCTCCCCCCAGCATTACTACCATGGCCACGTAAGCAACCAGCCATCATTTCTATCAACCCCTCACCATCGACCCGTCCGGTCCATAAATATCGCCACCACCACCATCACAATCGACCCACACGGTCTCAGCCCCCGGCTCCGATCTCGTCCCTCAAGGAACGCACCTGCGCCATCAACACTGCGTGTGCGCTTGCAAAGTCATACCCTCCCATGGCCCAGCCCGGAGACGGAACCGCCGCCTCCCCATACCTGACACCCGTACATGCCGTCACTCCTGCTCCCCTTTCCCCCGCTCTCGCTGTCCCCCCTGGAGTGGTCCTGCCGCCCCCGCTCCTCTGCCTATCCCTACCCGGTTCGCTGTCGCTGTCCGGCTCCATCGTCCCACACAGCGTGCAGTCCGTGGCACCACCGCCGCCTGGGCACACAGTCCCTGGGGTCCCGCCGGCAGTGGCGGGAGCGGTCGCCACACCCTTGCACGCCCGGGGACCCAGCTGAGACCGCCGGCCCTGAGGTGACGTAGCCGCCGCCGCGGCTGCCCTGACGTGTGCGCCAACCGCTGCCTCCAAGTGCGACGTGGAGATGCTGCACAGCGGTGCAGGTGGAGGCAAAGGTACCGGCTCAATGGGCTCCCCGGCCCAGCAGCCGCGGCTGACGGAGGGCCGGGTACCCCCGCCGGCTCCAGCTGCAGGGCTCCCCGCCTCCTGGGTGCGCTCAGACACACCATGCACTGTGCTGCCGCGACCGGCGGCGGCACGCTCCGTACGGTACGGCATGATGCGTCGAAGCGACCGACGCCAATTAATCTTGTGTGGTGATGGACGCAGGTCACAAGTAACTAGGGTTGGCAAAAAAACGATATTTGAAAACCCAAATAGCATAGTATGGTAAGAAATTGTACTATTTCTAGCAATGTAATACTATGATACTATTCCTAGGGAGGTGCACGCTCCCAGTAGAAGGGGGGTGTACGGCAACTGTTGCAACCGTTGCAACTGAAAATTATGTGTTGGAAAGGTCTTCTTTTGTTCTTCTATGATAATCTACTTAGGCATAGGATAGCGGATCGCTGCAGTCCTCCAGAGCGCTTCTTAGCTCCGTGCCCTGTGTGGGCGCACCCCAAACCCCATGCGTATTGAGGCACATAACTACCAACAACAGACCCAGTGATCACAGGAAAGCACACAGACGTCACGCCATTAAAGTCTCTGCGCTACAAACCCTCGTAAGGCCTAAACATAGCTCAATCCGGCATCTCTCAGTCCTCATTCTGCGTTTTTCAGGGATGTACGGCACACGCTCAGGGGTCCACAACGGCAGCTGCGTATTCCAACTGTCACAACTCAGGCTTCTCGATGAGGTGAATAGGCACTTTGTTCCTATAAAAGAACATGCCAAGTTCCTCCATGACTTGCCCGGCAAGAGTCGCGGGAACCACTGGGAGGAGGGTCTGGCCATCCATGCCGCGGCACCGCTTGGAGCGGGCCTGCTGATCCGCCGTGCTAGAGCCCGCCGCAGCGGAGCTGGTTCCGCTCTGTTGCTGTTGCTGGCTGAGTGACGCTGCACGCTGCTTGATAGCCTTGCAAGCACCTTGCTTGATGTGGTGCGTCGTGTTGGTGAATGACGGGTTCGCAGCACTGAGCAGCTCATCACAGTGCAAGCAGACTAGCTTTGGCAAACCAGCCCACCATTCCACATCGAAGTTGTCCCAAAGACCACCCGCCCTAGAGTTATTCTTCTGCGTCTTTAGCATCTCGTGCCGGGCGAGGTGGACGTCAGGGGGAACGTCGGCGCCAGGCTGCAAGCCTCTGATCGCCTTGTCATTCTTTATACTAGAATCCCTCGACATTCTTCATCACAAACCATGCATTGAGGCTCCTAGACGCGAGGACTTCAAACTACAGCTTGACCGCAGATCTCTACTTGGTCCAACTAATACTTGACACTATACATACTATACATACTTGACGCGGGCTCCCTGCGGGAAGCTTACCACCTCCGTCACCGGCGGTCTGTCCCAGCGAGCCACTGTTGTCAGCCTTCGCAGCCGCAGGAAATCACTGCCGTGCTGTCACCGGCGACAGCGTTGCTGCCTCACTTTCTGTCGCTGTCCGTCGGAGCCCCGATAGCTGGTGCTGCTGGCCCCCGCTCAAGGTCGCCATCAGGCCTAGCAGCGCCTCACCTACCGACCCAAGGGTCAGTGCGTCGCTGTGTGCTACACACAGCGGCAGCAGGTCCGTGCCCGATCCAGGGCCGTACATGTGCAAGGCCATGTGCACGAGGCGGTTGGTAGCGGCGGCGCATACCGAGACAGCCGTGTGTAGGAGCAATGCCCGCCCGGTGGGGTGCACCAGGTAAATGCGGTGGTGGTGGTGGTAATGGTGGTGGTGTGAAGCTGAGGAGCCGCTACTCGGGTCCTCACCGTGGAGGGGATACGGTGGTGCGGCCACAGTGAAGGAGCTGCGGCCACCCACTGCGGCACAAGCTCCTCCGGAAGCACGGGGAGCTGCAGCCGCCGCTGCTGCTTCTGCAGGGTCCGAGGCCTAGCTGGAGCTGCCCCAGCGGTACACCGGCACACCGCGCAGGTGGTGGGGGCTGCTGCTGCTACAGGCAGTTGAGGCACAGAGCGCTGCACCCAGCAAGATCACCCGGCCTGCAGAAACGAACAGCGCCTCGAGGGTGCGCGCAGCCGCCGCTGAACAGTCGTCACACGCCTCAGGCCCGCGGTCAGCCGCTGCCGTTGTTGCCCCCACCGCTGCACCGGTCTCAACCTGGCTCTCCACCCCGCAGGCCCACATCCTCTCCGCATTAACGCACCCGCCGCTCGGCCCATCGGCAGCTGGGGGTCCTTTCCCCCCCGCCCCCAGACCCGCCGGTGCGTCTCGTGGAGGAAGGAACAGATGGCGGTTACCAGCGCTGCCTGACGCTGCCGCCGAGCCGACCTGGCCTCTCGCCCGGCAGCGGTGCCCAGCAGCAGCACCCTCCCATCAGATAGCGACCTGCGAGTATGCGGCCAGAGGAGGTGGGGGAGCGGGGTACCGCGATGAGTGGGGTTTACGGAGCCCCTGGTCGTGTTGTGATGTGATGTGGCATGGGGGGTTGCTACGTAGCGTGACATGACGCTGCTCCCACGGGGATCCAGGTAGGTGGCTGAAAGAGTGAGTGGCTAAGAGGGGCCGCAATTTGGCTAAGTATGGCGCAATCAGCCCCACCCTCCGTGTCCCTCTCTCTCTCTCCGGCAGTGTGCACCCCCTTAGCTCCAGCACTGAAGTGCTCACCGCGACGACAACGTTTGTCGGAGCGACATCAGCCCGCGGATGGTCTCGATCCACGGGCGCCGCGACGCTACTTCCCGCTTTCCTCGTACGCCGCTTTCCGCTGCTCCGCGGCGCGGCGACTGCGAAACTGCTCCACCAGCAGCACCGCCAGCGTTATAATGCCCGATACCACCACACCTTGGGGAGGGGGGTAACAGACAGCAGCCGGCAGTTAGCAGGTTGCCTAATTAGGATCAAAAGAGGAGGTACAAAGGAGGGAAGGAAACGAACCACAAACACACACACAGACACACACGCACACGAGTGAAGCTGATACCTTAGGGATAGAAGGATACTCCATGCATGGATATCTTCGGGGGTAGGGTAAGGAAAAGAGGATTATGTGACGTTTCAAAGCCAAGGTTAAAGTTGCTAAGAGCGTTGATGTCCTGCGTTGTATCAAAGGGTGTTGCCGCTGAAGACGTGTTGTTTACTGGTAGAAGTCAACCAGTGAGAAAACCATGTAAAACCATCGCCTCGGACTGAAACTGTCCACCGCTACTACCACCACACGTGAGTGCAAACCCATCCAACCCCCATCCCCTCTGCCCTCCGCCCAGATTGTGGACCAGCTCGTTACCTGTGACCAATCCGGCCACTACACCCGTCAGCGTTCCGGAGCTCTTCTTATCCGCTTCCTCCACGGGGGGCACGAAAACCGGTGAGGGCGAGGTGCCCGGCGTGCCCGACGTGCCCGAATCGGTGTCGCGCGGAAACCTGCTCGGGCGGGTAAGGGGGAAAAGACGAACCACACACGATTGAAGCTGCTGCCAGGGCAAGAGAGAATCAAACGTAGAACTGACCGAAAGGCGTCCGTGAAGACCGCGGCCTCAGGATGACGAAGTGAAGAAGAGTAAGGGGGCCGGATGTGCGGTGATGGTCAGCAACCACCATCACGACCATGCACCTCATCATCCCGGCCGCCGTCGCCATCACTTCACGAGACTTAAGACGTGCCGTGACCCTCACTTCAGTCGTAAGTCTTAAGTCACGTGTGTGTGGAGGGTCCTTCACGTCACGAGGAAGGTGGCACGACCACGACATGGTGGTGCCGCACGTGGAGCCGCATAGAGAACGACGCCATCATCACAAACGTTTTTTGACACACTTGTGATGATGTGAGGTGGTGGTGGCCCTCACACTCGCCCTCGCAGGCACGGGTGAGGGTGAGGGTCTCGCACGGCTCGTCACCGGCCCAGAATGCAGACACGCTGCCCCCACCTCCTCCACACACCAAAAGAGTCATCACTTGTTGCGCCCGCCCTTCCCGGCACAGGTGCAGCAGTATCGGGAGCCCCCGACGGCCCCCGAATGAGAGAGATCCGCAAAGCGAGGGGTGTGCGGACCGCCGTCCGAACCCCTCCCCCCTCCCCCCACATACATCACATACCCACTCTCAAAGAGACACATATCCCGCGAGCGACTTGCATATCAGTTCGAGATGTCTTCTTTCCTCTTTTCCCCCCCCCCAGCTTTCGCGTTCGCCGGTACAAGTAACAACCCCCACCCGCCCCCTGTTGCACCCCAACCCCCACCCCACCCGCCCTCTTCACCAAATCCAAAACCCACAAGGACAGGTAGCAGCCCAGCGGGCCCAGCTGGGTGACGCATTCATCGGTCATCTGCCGCTCGCAGAGGTACGGCACACGCAGCATGTACAGCGAGTACCGCGTCGTCGAGGGTCGTCCAAATGCATCCCTGTCAGAGCCCTCCACCGCCACGTCCGCATACATGCCCACGTTGGGCCAGCAGCGGGAAATGGGCGGCACGGTGCTGCTGTTGGAGTTGATACAGCCGACCTGCGTGGTATTGTAGGCAAGTTGCTTCCCTGGCAGGTTGCTCGGCCGGACGATTGACGACATATCTTTGGCCTGCACGTTCCGGGGGACACAGATGCCTGCGAGAGGGTGCGCCAGGAGCGGAGGGGAGGGCAGGGGTGAGGGAAGGGGTGAGGGCAGGGAGAACACGCACAACAGGGAGACAGAGACGAGGCGGAGGACGGGGAATCGGGAAGAAGGGGAGAGGAGAGACCATACGTATATGTTGGCCACTGCCCCCTCAAAAGTACGTCAATGTAAATGGCGGGCCTAGTCCATTGAAACCCTAAGCCCATTCAAACCGCTCCAAGCGGTAGGGCCGGTGCAAAACTCATCAAGCTGCGCCTGCCAGCCTTTCAAACCCTGGCCGAAAGCCCACGCTAACTTAC